CCTAAAGGTTTCTGTACGGGAGGAAGGCTGTCGCAGGGGAGGAACCATTTTGAAGGGGAGGGGAGTTCCACTATCTGAGTTAGGCCGATATCATTAGATAGGTAGGCTGATCTCCGCTTCTATCCTCCCGGGATCAGAAGCAGGCGATGGCGCAAGTGGAGTGAAAAGCTTTGAGTGGAAGGAAGGTCCTTGTTCAGCTCCGCCTATTCATCTCTTCTTTCAAATAGTGAAAGCAAATTACCCTTTTCTAGTTCTCACTCTGTTGTGGGGACCCACCAAGACTGTCTTTCCTAGTCTATAGGTCCAATCTCATCTGCTAGCGCTTCTTCTGGTCGGGACACATTCATAGATTTCTTTGAATTGTTCCTGGGCTTGCAAGTGACTTACTGCTTTTGGCCGTTCTTGCTGTCTTAAGTCGTCCTCTTTCTTTATAAGCTGTTAATTTCTTTCGTGCCTGCCCTAAGGCTAAGGGGAGAACTGCATGTCCTACTAGTCGGATAGAAGCCTACCCACCTACCAGCCTACCTTGTTCATATCGAGCCGGACAGGAGAGACACTCTTTAAAGTTAATAGAAGCAATTCCTTTTATAAGCTTGAAAATAGGCGCTCAATTCAAATAGGGGAGTTCCGAACCAGCAGCAAGCCCTTTCTCGCCCTTTCGTCTGTCCTAGGCGAAGGCAGTGCAGGCCCTAATAGATCCCACGCTCCACATAGCTCACGACCCGGCACGAAGAAAGATCTTAGATGGGCGGATGCGAATCTGGATCTATCAACGGAGCAATGGAATTCAAGTCGTAGCCGTGTCTGACCCCCTCAATCTTTCTTTCCTTCTTTTGAAGCTTGTTGCCCTTTAGTGATAGTGATAAAGAGCACACCCTCCATTCTTTCTACCTCTAATCTATCCCGCTTGAGGTTTTCTTCCTCTGCTCGCTCACCAGGAATGGTAGAGAGAGCTCCTTTCTTATTCAATTTCCGGTGATTGAGAACTTGGAAAACGTCCTGCAATCAAACTCAAGCAGAATCTGAGTCCAGCATCTCAAGTTCTTAGGCGGGGACAGGATTCGAACCGGCTTGTGACACCACCCCAGTAAGAGATCAACGAAAAGCAAGCCTTCTTCCCTAAAAGAAAGTAGTTGAAAGCCGAGACCAAAGGAGTGTACTTTACTTAATTAAGGAAGTGTACTTAACGAGGG